TCAGCCAGAAGCTGGGCTCACAGTTGGCGAGCCCTGTGGCAGTGCTAAGGAATAGCAGTCTGAGCAGTAAGGAGCAGCAAGCAAGTAGGCGGTAAGGAGCAAGGGGTCCCTGGACTGTGAGAGGGGTCCCAGACTGCGAGAGGGTGCAGGCCGGGCTGAAGAACTCCTGCCCCCTCCCCAGTGTACGAATTTCATGCACCGAGCCTCTAGCATTATATATTTCTGATTATTATTCTAACTTTCCACCTCCAACTCCCAACAGATTATAAACTCCATGAGTGCAGGTTTTAAAGAGAGGGGAAGGGAGGAAGGAAAGAGAGAAACACAATGTGAGAGAGAAACATCAATCAGCTGCTTCCCTTACACACCCTAACTGGGGATGGAACCCTCAACCTTTCATGAGCTTGGGACAATGCTCCAACAACCAACATATTTTTTTGTTTGAGCCACACTAGCCAGGGCGAAAGAGTGTATATTTATATCACCACTGGATCTCAGCACCAAAGCACCTGGCATATAATAGATACTCTAGAAATACTTCTTGACTGAGTCAGGCAGGCTGGCTACAGGTGGCACTCCATAATGAAGACTGAAAAGAACACAGAATACTTCAATGACCTGAGTTCAAGACTCACAGTAAAGGTACTGTAGCTAAGGCAGGGTGTCAATGATATGAGGACAGATATGTAGAGCAATGGAACAGGCAGAAATATACCCACCCAGATATGTTCAGTTGAGTTTGCCAAAAGGTGCCAAGTGAATTTAATGGGACAATGGTAGTCTTTTCCACAACAATGCTGGGACAATTGGATATCTATATGCAAAAATAATGAACCCTGACCCTTGCCTCACAGTATACATAAAACAGTACTTTGAAATGGACCAGAGGGAGGGGGGGGATGGTGAAGGACCACCCATCATGGAATGCCACTCAGCAGTTAAACACACAATTTACAGATGATACATTGCAGAACTGTATACCTGAATCCGATATAATTTTATCAACCAATGTCATCCCAATAAATTCAATTTCAAAAAATTAAAATGGGCCATAAAGCTAATAGACCTAAATGTGAGAGATAATCTTATAAACTCCCAGAAGAACATAGGAGAAAAATCTTTGTGACCTTGCACTAGGTAAAGATGACTTAGGCCAGTATGGCTCAATGGTTGAGGGTAGACCTCATGCACTGAGATGTTACTGGTTCAATTCTCCATCCGGTACCTGCCTGTGCTGTGGACTTGATCCCCAGTAGGGGGCCTGCAGGAGGCAGCTAATAGATGTTTCTCATCAGTTTTTCTATCTCTCTATTCCTCTCCCTTCCTCTTTCTCTAAAATCAATAAAAATATATTTTTTAAAATGTCTTAGGCTGTAAGATCATCCATATTTTTTAAAATGAATAAATTAGTCTTCATAAAAATTTAAAACTTATGATCTTTAAAAGATACTAATTAAAAAAACAAAAAAGCAAGTCACAAATGGGAAAATATTTGCAGAGTATATATTCAGGTATTCTGTTCTACAATGTATCATCTGTATATTGTGTGTTTAACCCCAAGTCCAGAGTCTCCTTTCCTTATATTTCATCAGATGAAAATCCAAAATATATATTTTTAAAAACCTCCTTAAAATAATAAGAAGACAAACAACCTTTTAATGGGCAAAATATTTAAACAGATAAGTTCAAAAAATATAAAAGAACGTCAAATAAGCACGTATCATCAGTCCTTAGCAAAATGCTAATAAAAACACGAGATGTTTCCACACATCCACTAAATTGGCTAAAATTTAAAAGATTGATAATACCAACTGTTGGCAAGGAGGCGGAGCAATTAGAACTTCTGTACAGGGAATGCAAAAACAGTGCAGCCACATGTCAAACAGGTTGGTGTCTCTTATAAAGTGAAACACACACTTCACATACCACCCAGCAATGCCCCCACAAGGTGTCATCGGGAGAAATATAATAAAAGTGTTCATCTGCACAAAAACCTGAACTCAACCATTCATGGCAGCCCTGTCCATCACAGCCTCAAAACTGGAAGTCACCCAAATGTCCATCAGCTGGTGAGTGAAAAACACAAATTGCGGTGCCTCCCGGTGATGGAATACCACTCAGCAACAGAAGGGAAGGAAGGGATTGCTCATCTGCTCAAGAACATGGGTAAATCCCCAAAACAGAATCCGTGAAAGAAGTGCATAACTTCATTTATTAAAAATTCTAGAAAGGGGAAAACTAGAGAGAGGGAGCCAATCAGCTATCACAATGGCTGGATGAAGATTACGTGGCTGGATCTACTTGTCAGAATTCACCACAAGATTTTAACCTTGGGAATTGTCATATGGAAATTATACCTCAATTAAAGACATGCATGTCAGATGAAAAAACAAACAAACGAGTATCTGGCAAAGTTGGTATCTCTTCACTTTCTACCTCCAGCTAAAGTCCTGCCCATCTGTGCAGACATTCTTGTAGTTGGGTCGCCTACCCGTTCTGGGGTTGCCTAAGGACAAGTAATAAAGATGACTCACAATCACACCCCCTCTGTAAAATGGGACCATAGGTTGGTTTGAGAGAGGGTGAGAGGAAGGAGTGCAGGTGAAGAGGGATTTGGCTGATGCACAATCAATATCAGCAAGCACTGTGCTAATTACAGGTTGGGCCCTTTACAGATGTGCCCAGCCCTGAGCTTTGTCTTTGGAAACAGCCCATTTCTCCCTCATGAGGCAGGGCTTCTTAATCCCCTCTTGCAAAAACCAAACCAAACAAAAACAAAACAAAACAAAAAACCCCTAAGGATCAGGCTGGTCTCACAGCTGCTAAGTACTGAGAGTCCGGATTCACCTCCAGACCTGCCTCACTCCTGCGTACCCAGAAGTGTTACAGAAATCCCATTCTGAACCTCCCTGCTCTCTCCTTTCTCTTCTTCCTCCTCTCCTCCTCTTGATTCACCAGGGAGTCATTTCCTGTATCCATCAGGTCCTTTAGTGGCCTTCTGCCCACTGAGTCCTCCACCCACCTCTATGGCACATCCTTTGTTGGTGCCTTGCTTAAATAGCATCCCAGCAGTTGGGAAGCATTAGAGTTCATCTCTCCAGAGAGGCCATCCCTGACCACGCTATCTGTAGCTGTGACATTGTACAGCTATCATTTTTGCTGATTGTCACACACACACACACACACACACACACACACACACACACACACACCACTATCGACTCCCATCTCCACGCCACCCCCACATAGAACGTAAGCTCCCTGTAGGCAGGGACTGGATCTCTGTGGAACGCTGTGTTTTGTTCTGTTTTTACCCCACCGCTGTATCCCTCCGACCTAGGCCGTTCACATGGAATTGGCATAATCATTAATTTCTAGAAGGAACTTACAAGACCCTCATCATCCAACACTTACACTTTTATAGGTGGGGAAATCCAGAGAGGTTAAGTGGCTGCTCCAAGGTCACACAGCTGGTTGGGGCAAAGCCACAGAGCAAGCTTTGCATTTTTTGGATCCCTATCAAGTGATGGTTCTGCTACTTCACATTGCCTTGTATGCCCAGGTCTGAGAAGGCAGGAGGCACAAGACACAACGTAATCATTTTTTACATTGATTTTAATGTCATGCAGTGGGGCTGGCAGTGAAGGGTCGAGAGATCCTTGGCCTCTCATCGAACTTTCAAGGTCATCTTCAAAAAGAGCACGCTTCAGGGAAAGCAATGATAAGACGACTTTAAACTGTTGTCCCATTCGCAGATTATGTTGCCTGTAGCGCATTTTAAGATAATTTGTCCCGTAAATCCTATAATCCTGTGTACAGCCCAGTGTCGTTACAGTCAACAGTAGTTTATGTACATCCAAGCTCTTATTCTGTTTAATGTAAACATTGAAAGCATTCCATAATGTTTGGTGACCCTTGCTTCAGCAAGTCTTCATTTTTATTTCTTGAGATGCCAGAAGCTTTGTTGAGCAGGCGCGGCCCGGGCCTCTCCCGGCCTCTGTGTGGTCCTGGGCCTCCACCTATCCACACTGTGGGAGACTGCTCCCAGCACCCCTGTGCCCTGGGGCCGCCCAGCTCCGGAAGGCTGAGCCAGGAAGACAGTCTTCTGAGGCACAGGCTCTGACAGGAGCTGGTGGTTATGCAACTGTCTTACAAAATGCTCGCCTGCATCTCCAGAGCGCTCAGCCCTGCTCCCGGCTGCATGCTGTTCTGCGGGTAACTTAGCATGAAGCGTTGTCTACACAAGAAAAACAAGTCCAAGGCTGGTGCCTCTGATGGTGAAATCACCACCCACTCAGCGGGCAGCCACAGAAAAGGGTACCTGGCCACAGGGTCACGGGGCAGCCTCCTGAGTGCCAGAGCATGATTTAGAGGCTCCTTAAGGACAGATATTTGGGGGGGTGGGGGGGGGGTTTGTCACAAACTAAAGATGTGGGTGAAGAGCCATCGCAGAGGGCAGGAAAGAGCTATTAGCCAACCCGTGACTCAGGGTGAGTTTACACGTCTGTGATGGAAGTCGATCGTTGAAGATTCATCACAGATATCTGCAATTGACGGTGTGGACTGATCCCAGGTTGTGCATAAGTGACTATTCATCAGCGATGAGAACACCTTCTAGGTTCTGGTGGACAAACTGTCTGCCATCGAAACAGGCCATCTCCTCAAAATCAGTGTCCAACCTTGAGCACGGATGGGCCGAAGCACTTGTTTCTTGGTTTGGTGGATTTTCTGCTTGCAAAGTTTGGTCAGAAACCAAAATAAGTGTTTAGCTATCTGTGTAGAGTTCAGGTCAGAAGGAGGAGGGTATGATAGCCAAGACTACTTTAGCTGCAAGCGACAGAAAAATATTGGCACTGGCAAATACGGCAGTGATAACTACATTTCTTGGAACCTAAAAAACAGTGTATTTATGGCTTCCCACTTTTATGCCTGTCTCTCCCCGCACCACCACCACCTTTTTTCCTCTTAGCTTTGAATACATGCTAATAAATGATAACAAAAATTCTTAAAAACAGAAGGAAGCCTTTCTTGAGATCCTGCCCTGTCTGTTTTTTTATTTTTATTTTTTGACTCTACAATAGTCAGAATAACATTTCAATGTCGGGAGTCATCCAAATTAAATCCCAGCTGTTGGGTGCAGGCTGGACACCTGCCCCCATTCCAATTACAGACCTTCCGACCCAGGCCCAGGCTCGGGATTAAAACTGCCGTGGAGTCTGAGCCACAGCCGTTGGTCCTGACTCAGCCGCTCTGAACTTTGCTCCGCATAAGGACACCGGCATTTCCTTCCCTCGTTTCCTCCCAGTCGGCTCGGGAGTGCCCGGGGAAGGTTGTCACAAACAGGCTGCCAATAACAATAATCACATCCATGGAGAGCAGGTCTATTTCCCTAATTAGAGTTTTGCGACAGTGAAGAAACCAAATGGGATAAGGGGCAGGGAGAGTCAGGTGCATCCAATACTCCCACGTCCGCGTCCTGAAATGCCACTCCTCTGGGCATCCTTACCAACAATGACTCTTTCGGCTGCGGAGCCCACAACGCCTAAGCCTTCTCCAGCCTGTCGGCGAAGCTTGCCGCCGCGTATTGGCAAGTATTTCCTGCAAAGTCGCTGGGAAAGGAGACTGTGTCCAAAGCTCATATTGTCGGGCTCCAGTCCGTTGTTTCAGGCAGGGAAGGGGGATTTCCCCGCTCCTGTCATCCCTGAGTCACCCTCCCTCACGGCCTGTCAGAGCCCGGTGCTAAACGGAGAGAGGGCCACGGCCCTGACATGACGCATAAAACGCCTGAGCAGGAGCACGCAATGAGCTCATGCGGGAGCAGAGGTGACCTCACTCGGGGGAGGGGGTGCAAGGGCCTGGATCCAAACAGCGGGGAAGGCGATGGACCTCGCAGGCTCCCAGGTGCAGACCAGCAGCAGTGTCAGCGCCGACGTGTCCGCAGGCTCACAGCTAACTCCCCGGTGCCAGGCACCACTCGCCTGCACCTTGATGCACTGGTTCGATTTGCAAGTTTACCGTGTTAAAGGTTGTTTTTTTTTTAGAGTCCATTAATGCATATTAAATAAATAGTAGTACATGAAGTAACAGATATGGCTACCATCCAAAACAATATGCAAATGACAGTTGAGAAACAGTGTACTAGTACTAGACAATACCATGTCTCTCCCTCTCTCTCTCTCTCTCTCTCTCTCTCTCTCTCTCTCTCTCTCTCTCTCTCTCTCTCTCTCTCTGTTTCTCTCTCTCTCTTTGAGGCAATACCAATTCTCAGAAAACAAAAACCCCACAAAACAAAGAAAGTTAAAAAACAACTGCCATGTATTAAACCTTAATTACATGCCTAGCACTGTATTAAGTATTTTTTAAGCATTAACTCTAATACACACACACACACACACACACACAATAACAACTGTGAATTAGGAAATACTGTTACTCCCATTTCACAGATGAGGAAACAAGGCTTAGTAATGCTAATTAATTGGCTCAGGGTCACAGCTAAAGTGATAGAGCTCGGATTTGATTCCACTCCCACTAGACGTCAGAACCCAGGGAGGTGTGAGCTGTGACCTCATTTTCCCTGTGCCAGCACAGTGCTGTGTCATCCGGATATGCCACTGGCTCCTCGGGCGAAGGAACTGTCACGGGCCACTGGGAAAGCAGCCACTTCCTGTCCCTGCAGAATGAGAGCATCACCACCAGGGTCCTTCCTCACTGTCCGGGGTCAGCCTCTAAACTGAACAGTTTCTCTCAGGAGTGACAGGTGCTGACTTAGCCACCCTGGCTCTGCCTTCTCCCTTTGCCATAAGCCAACTGTGCCATGGGTGGCTTAGAGCCTAACCTCCGAACACAGGCTTTTAAATAGCCGGCAAACAATCGGGCACTGTACGGAAGGCGGGCGTGTCTCCCCAGTCCGCCCTGAGGCAGGGCACCCTCCCAGGCTGCTGTGAGGCTAACAGCTCCCAGCTGTCAGTTCTCAGCATGGCCCTCAGCTCCACAGGAGCCCGTTTACCTGGGAGACTGTCCTTCATCCCCAGGAAGAGCCCAGCTGGCTGTCCGGGGTGAAAGGCCAGCTGCTTTGCCTCTGGGAGACCAATGCTGCCTGTCCGGCTGAAGCTGGGCTGGTGGAGAAGGGTCTCTGTTTACCTCCTCCCCTTTCTCTGCCCGGCCCCCCACTGCCTTCCCCAGCTGCCTTGCTAAGTTCACCACCTCTCCACCCTTCTCCTTCAAACAGCCGGCAAGAACACCACTGCGCCCTGCCCACAAACAGGACTCGGACATGTGTTAACTGAGATGTGGGCCTTGAACTTCAGGAGTGCATGCAAAGAGTTGCCCAAACTCACAGACAATGAGATAAGAACCAGAACAACTCCTTCCTTCCTTTTTATTCCCTTCTCTTAGTACAGTGGTCTGTGTGCCTAGGCCTAGCCTAAACACTATTTAGCCCTTGTTCAATTTGATTCTGAGAACAAATGCTTTGATTAACCCTTTTTGTTTGTTTGTTTGTTTGTTATTTGTTGTTGTTAATCCTCACTCAAGGATATTTTTTCCATTGCTTTCCAGAAAGAGTGGAAGTGAGAGAAGAAGCTGAAGAGAGACAGAGAAAAAGAAACATCCATGTGAGAGAGACACCTAGAACATTTGCCTCTCTTGCGAGCCCCTACTGGACCGGAGATTGAGCCTGCAACCCAGATATGTGTCCATGACCTGGAATTGAGCCTGTGCCCCTCGGGGTGCATGGGCAGATGCTCTAACCAATGAGCAACATGAGCCAGGGTGATTAACCCCTTTTTAGACTCAAGAAAAATGAGAGGGGATTTGAACCCAGATCTCTCAGAAACTCCTCACTCTTACACAGGTTCTTTTCTACTTTTCTAGGTCAAGGGTCAGCAAATTACACTCCCTGTCTTTTTTTGTAAATAAAATTTTATTGAAACACAGCCATGTGCATTATTGGCATATGGCCATGACTGCTTTCAGCCTTCAAAAGCAGAGGTGAGAGGTTGACATAGAGCCTGGAGGTCTGCACAGCCAAAAATATGTAAGATCCTTCTCTTTATATATATTTATATATATTTTTTTATTTTTTTACAGAGAGGAAGAGAGAGGGATAGAGAGAAACATCGATGAGAGAATCATCCATCAGTTGCCTCTTGCACACCCCCTACTGGAGATGCGCCTGCAACCAATGTACATGCCCTTGACAGGAATCGAACCTGTGAGCTTTCAGTCCGCAGGCTGATGCTCTATCCACTGAGCCAAACTGGTTTTGGCGGATCCTTCTCTTTATAGAAAATATGTGCTTTTTTAGTTGTTGTTGCTGTCCTTCAGCTGCAGATAAAGAAAAAGTGTGAGAGGAAGAGATGAAGATGAAATTGCCAGTTATGAAAACAGTTACGGGGATATAAAATACAACCGAGCGAATATCCTATATAATAAAAGCCTAATATGCAAATCAACCAAACAGCAGAATGACAGGTGGAACGACCAGATGCTATGATGCACACTAACCACTAGTGGGCAGCTGTTCAAAGCAGGAGCTGCCCCCAGCCCACAGGCCCCAGGCCAGCCAAGGCGGGTGCCAGTGGTGGTCCCCTGATCACTCCACCTGTCGCCCCACAGATCGGCTCTGATTGCTGGCCAAGCCTGGGGACCCCATCCATGCACAAATTTCATGCACCAGGCCTCTACAGTCAATAAGATCATAGTAACTCTGTAGGGTATCAGGTGCTAGAACCTTGAGGTGATCACTTCGTAAGGTATATACATGTTGTACACCTGAAACTAATACAATATTGTATGTCAACTGAAATGAAAAAATATATATATATTAAGAAAAAAAGAGAGAGAATGTGAAATATCTTCCCTTCAAATCAAGGTTCTCCAGTCATCTGCAGTTTCAGCAGAGACCACTCAATGACAAAGGGAGAATCTGAGCTGTTCTATTCAGTTCTCCTTCAACACTTGCGGGAGAACAGATCCCATTATCTGACCACCCTTGTTTCCCTTGCTGCTTTGCCTACTGACTCTTTAAGGAAAGCTAGCATTTCCTGAACAGATTATTCTTACACAGAACCACATGGAAGTTTCTTGACATTTCCCTCTGGAAGTCTCATTGTTCAGCATATCCCATAACCTTTTGACCCCTCTGCGTCCACACAAGAAGTTCCTCTTCTAGCCTTTTAATTACTGAATTTCAATGCTTGGAAATGGTGATCATCTCCTTCCATGGTTTTCTGCGACACTGCTTTCCAACTTTGATCTCTTTTTGTCTTTTCCCATAAGTCAGTCCCTTCTTATTGTTGCCTAGTCTTTGAACTGTAGTCAATCTGTTTGCATTCTGGAGTGATTAAAATACAATGAGTACCATGGGACTAATGGAGAGAAAACAGACCCCCTCCATTCAGGTTCAGATGGCCAGTTGAATCTGAGCCCAACATACTACTTTCCTCCTTCTGAAAGCCTCTTCCGGAATGTTCTAGATGTGTTATGGTAGCTTACTACAATAGTAAGCTAGCTATATTTGTTATTTAACACCATAAGACTTTTATTTTTTTTAATATATTTTATTGATTTTTTACAGAGAGGAAGAGAGAGGGATAGAGAGATAGAAATGTCGATGAGAGAGAATCATCGATCAGCTGCCTCTTGCACACCCCCTATTGGGGATATGCCTGCAACCAAGGTATTATACATGCCCTTGACCGGAATCGAACCTGGCACCTTTCAGTCCGCAGGCCGACGCTCTATCCACTGAGCCAAACCGGTTTCGGCAAGACTCCTGACTTTTAAATGTAAACTACACAAAGTAAAACTTGGGACAATCTCTTTGCAAAGCAATTTAATCATGTACAATAAGGACTTTTTTTTTTTTAAGGTTATGCCCTTTGACTCACTCACTTCTGGGATGAACCCCAAGGCTCAGAATCAAATAAAATAATCAAAAGTGCACCAATGATGTGGATGTAAGGCTGTCCATCACAGTATTATCCTAAATAATAAAAGCCTGATGTGCTAAATGTCTGGTCATCTGGTAGTCTGTTCAACCAATCAAAGCATAATATGCTAATGATATGCTAAGGCCACTCAACTGCTCACTATGATGTGCACTGACTACCAGGGGGCAGATACTCCAACAAGTAGGTTAGCTTGCTGCTGGGGTCTGGCTGTTCAGGACTGAGCAAGATGGGCTGGACATGCCCTAGAGTAGGGGTGTCGAACTCAATCAGAGAAGGGGCCAAAATCTAAAATCCAGCCTAAATCGCGGGCCGAATGGTTTACTGAACAGTCAAAAACTGTCATTGTGATGGAAACGCAGCGGAGTGCAGTGATGACAGCGCGGTGCGGGCCACATTGCAAGGCCTGGCGGGACGGATTTGGCCCGAGGGCCTTGTGTTTGACACATGTGCCCTAGAGCCTTTCCCTGGTCCCCCCCCCTCCGCCCCCCCCTCCCCCCCAGTGACCAACTTCCTGCATTCCTCCCTGGCCCTGATCATGCACCAGTGGGATCCCTCAGACTGGCCTGTGCCCTCTAGCAATCTGGGTCCCCTCAAGGTATGTCGGAGAGCTGGTTTCAGCCCAATCCTGCAGGTTAGGCCAGAGATCCCACTGGTGCATGAATTCATGCACTGGGCCTCTAGTTTTAAATAATAGGAAAAATGGAAATCAACATTG